CTGCTAATGATGATGTGTAACATCTTTCAACAGGGTCTCAAACCAGCACCTCATGCGTGGTTTGAGGAATTCAGCACTAGCATTGTGTGCTTGGGCTTCTCCTCCAGCTCTTATGATTATGGACTGTTTACTCGTACCACTTAGTTGTACTGTTCTTCTCCTTCTCTATGTGGATCATATGGTTATCAGTGGGAGTGACCCTGCATGTATCATGAGCCTCAAATAGTCTTTTAGATCGTGTTTTGAGATGAAATAACTTGGTACTCTTTACTACTTTCTATAATGGTATAGAGGATATGGGAATAAGTAATTCATATTATTGAACAACAGTGGGGATTTATATAGGGAATACAACAATGGAAAGGATAAATGATTGCCTAAATTTATGCACAGTTACAATCAATCAACTAAACATAGAAATGCATATTAAGTGGAATTTGAATGTGTAGTAGACTTTCCTTTTCCTTGAGATATGGATTGATCCGTAATACACCCCCGCAAGATGGAGGATCCATTTGAGACTCCAATCTTGGAGCGAAGATGAAAAAATGGTCCTCGACGAAGTGCTCTTGTGAGGACAACAGCAAGTTGGTCTGCTGAATGTACATGTTGGACTCGGAGAGAGCCATCGGAGACCTTCTCATGCACGAAATGATAGTCCAAGGCAACGTGTTTCATGCGTGAATGGTATATCGGGTTTGCGCAAAGATAAGTGGCGCCGACATTGTCATAGAACAGGGTAGGAGAGCTTGAAATACATGCGCCTAGTTCGAGAAGTAAATTATGCACCCAAGATAATTTTGCTGCTGCATTTGCCAAGGCTTTGTATTCAGCCTCAGTTGATGAGCGGGACACCGATTTTTGGCACGCCGATCGCCAAGAGATAATGTTAGATCCGAGATATAATATATAAGCGGTAGTAGATCGGCGTAATTGGAAATACCGCCCCAATCAGAATCTGAGAAGGCTTTAAGGTGAAGTGGGGAACCACGGTTGAGGTGCAAGCCGTGATGGATGGTTCCTTTTAAGTAACGTAGTACCCTTTTTAATGATTGCCAATGTAGTTGACTTGGCGAGTGCATTAACTGAGATAACTTATTAACCGCGAAGGACACGTCTGGGCGAGTGAATGCAAGGTATTGTAGAGCACCTACTAGTTGGCGGTAGGGTGTGGGATCAACCCCGGGTGAACCGTCGTTGGGAGATAGTGGGTCAGAAGAGTGTAGAGGGGTGACAATAGGTTTTGCACCATCCATTTTGAACTTGGTCAGCAAGTTTTGTATGTGGTGGTGTTGAGATAGGAACAAACCATTGGAAGTGGGAATAACATCTATACCAAGGAAGTGATGTAGCATGCCAAGATCTTTAATAGAAAACGCATGTGCCAAAACATCAATGATCTTTTGAAGAAAATGATTGTTGTTTCCTGTCATGACAATGTCATCCACATAAACTAGAAAATAGCAAGTTAAGTTATCATGGTTATAAATGAACAATGAGGGGTCTGCTCTTGATTTTTGAAAACCAAGGTTGAGAAGAAATTTTGTAAGTTCGAGATACCAAGTATGTGATGCTTGCTTTAATCCGTAAAGAGATTTGTGAAGCTTGCAAACGTCGTTTGGTAAATCTGGGTTGACATACCCTAGAGGTTGGGTCATATAAACTTCTTGTAAGTGACCATGCAAAAATGCGTTGTTGACGTCAAGTTGTCTTAAGGGCCAATGTTTGGACAAGGCAATAGACAATACGGTAGAAATAGTTACCAGCTTTGTAACGGGACTAAATGTTTCAAAATAATCTTTGTCATATTGTTGATGAAAACCTTTGGCAACTAGGCGTACCTTATATTTATCAATTGAGCCGTTCGGTTTACGTTTGATTCGAAAAACCCATTTGCAACCAATAGGTTTGTATGAATGAGGAGGTACTGAATACCCACTGAGTAGGGCATTGAGTTCAAGGTCCATTGCACGATGCCACTGGGGATCTTTTAAGGCTTGAGTGGGTAGTTGGTTCAGCGGTTGATGGTATAGGATGGAGGGTAGAAGTATTTGGGTTGGGTTTGCGAGTTCTAGGAGGAGGTGTAGAAGCGTTGGATTGATCAGGAGTGGTTGGTGTAGGGGAATCGTTGGGTAGATTTGGAGTGGTTGGTGTAAGTGAGGCATCAGATGGAGATGGGTGAGATACGTTGATGACTTAATAGTTACTGGATCATCAAAGAGAGAGATTAAAACCTTCAAGGATCAGATGAAAGAGAAGTTCGAAATGAATGATCTTGGATTACTTGCTTATTACCTTGGCATTGAGGTTACACAGAACGGGGGTGAAATCTCAATAAAGCAAACTGGCTACGCAAACAAAATACTCAGTGACACAAGGATGTTAGACTGCAATGAAGCAAAAATACCTATGGAACCAGGTCTCAAATGCACAAAAATAACCAAAGCAAGATCCGTAGACGCCACCGAATATCGAAGCCTAATTGGATGTCTACGATACTTACTACATACAAGACCATATCTAAGTTTTCCAGTTGGATTACTTAGTCGTTTATGCAAAACCCACAGGAGCAGCATATGAAAGCAATCAAACAAGTGATGCGTTATATCAAAGGAACTAAGGACTATGGTATAACTTATGGGCATGAAGGAGGAAACAAGATACAAGGATACAGCGACAGCAGTTACGGTGTTAACACACAAAAAGGTAAAGGCATAACTGGTATAATTTTCTACTTTGGAAATTCACCTATCAGTTGGAGTACTCAGAGACAAGGAACAGTAGCTTTATCCTCATGTGAGTCAGAGTTTATTGCGGCAACAGCAGCAGCAACACAAGCTCTCTGGTTAAAGAGACTACTCAGCAAAATCACTGATACTAAGGAAGAAAAGGTTACTATCTATGTGGATAACAAGTCAGCAATAGCACTAATGAAGAATCCAGTATTTCATGGACGAAGCAAACACATTGATACTAAGTATCACTTCATACGAGAATGCATGGAGAAAGAAGATTTGACAGTTGAACACATCACTGGAGAACTACAACAAGCTGACATTCTGACAAAGCCACTACCAGGAATAAGGTTTATCACTATGAGGCAACTACTTGGAGTTAAAAATCTTATTCAACACAATCGAGATTAAGGGGGTGAATGTTAGATTAATCTCGATTAGATAGTATGTATGTATATGTAGGTAGTTATTAGGAAGTTATTGGTAGTTATCCACGAAGAGGTGCGACTATTCACGAAAGGGTGTGATGGTTCAATGGCACCTTTTCGGTGTCTATAAATATGTAAATTCTACACACTTTTCATAGTGTGAATTCTCAAAGATTATCAATAAACTTTGGTTGTTTTAGCATATCGATCCAACATTTCTCATGTATATATACCCCCCTTATGAGATCAATAATGCATCATCGGAAGAAACTTTGGCTCCAAGTTTTGTTGTCTTCCTCGTGATAATCATAACATTCACAAGCATGCACTTTAGTATGAACCTACCCATTTTAATAAATACAAAAGATTCCAGTATCAGGAATTGTCTTATACAACACCTTAAACTAGCATTCGATGCTTATATACAACACCCATATATGTCATTTTTTGCAAATGTGGTCATCTATATATACCTTTGTCTTCTGTGAGTCGTACCAACATCTAAACTTTTATATTAAGTGTGTTTTCTTCTATCTAGACTGTAAACATCTCTAGCTAGGAATTCCATTTCTTGAAACCCAAGGATATTATGTGTTTCGAATTTCTTCTCATAGGCTTATTAGTTGTAACTTGTAAGTCGGCTTGAACTTAATTTTGATCTTGCTCAGTTGCTCTTCATGCACCAGCACCCTACTGGCTTCTCTCATGTTCTTGATCATCTGTTCGGTTTTTCCATAATTTTTAAACCTGCTTCAATTCCACTTCGCCCCTTTCTGCAACTCTTTTTGGATTTCTTTAGGCTCGTATTTGCCATAGCCATACTAGGATTTGTTTGTGTGTATCTTCTTCCTAAAGCAAGTATCTCAGAGGTACTTTTGCCTCTTATTTGCTCTTTGTGGCTGTATTTTGATGCTTCTAATTATGTGGTCAATCTGGAGTGCCCATTTTCGTTAGTAATGCTGCTACTAAGAAAGTATATATATCCATCCGTTTTATTAACTTCTTCAATCATCCCTTGTGGAATTCTATTAATTGGAAGCCTTTTTGGTTCATGAGCTTGTGCTTGAAAGAACATGGGTTCTAACTCATGCGTACACCTCACAACATTTGATGCCTATTCTAGATCTTCTAGTGCTACTCTCATTGATATGAGCAAGAGTAACAATACAGTTTATAATGCTACAACATCGCATCAGGTATAGTAAGCAAAATCCTACGATATTGACGTCTAGATGGCGACTGTGGTATCTAATATTTATAACCAACCAAACAAACCCAGTAAATCCCATGTGGAGTAGGGTCTGGAAGTCTAAATAGTTCAAGATACTTGTAATCTTTCGAGGCTCTTCTTGCCCTTGAATATTCTAGAATTTCATGTTCCTATGTGTGAAATGCCTAAATGCTAAAACAATCTAGAACATGCATCATTTCTAACATATATCCATAGATAAACCATCAAGATTAGTAGCCTTTCAAAGGATATTATCGTAACCGGTTTTGGTTTAGAGTTGATGCTTGCATCAAATGTCAATCCCTTTTACTTGTAGTTATAATTCGATCTTAAAAGTGTCGTTGTAACATAAGATCTAACTAAACTATGAGCATCTCCAAAGAGGCATAGACAAAGGATATAAAGCGCTAGACACCTTTAAGTTTTCCTAGAGTTTTTTAATCGTCATTTACAACATCTGTACATTTATAGCAAAAAAAAAACTTGAAAGGAAACTGAGAGGCTAAAAAGGTGGTTGCTACCAATATATTGACTTCTTTTTCTGCTTTAGTTTTTGCTTCATTTGAATTGGCCTTAGATTCTGATGACACCATGTTTTAGCAACAGAATGGAAAGGATCCTTGAGAGGTACGAAAGATACTCCTACACAGAAATGCAGCTTACATCAACTCATAACGAATCACAAGTACGTCGACTAGTTGTTTCTTGTTCAAACATCTTTCATGCCTATCCTAAAATTGAAAACTCTAAATATTTCTAGGGAAGCTGGAATCTGGAACATGCCAAGCTCAAAGCTAGAATTGAGAGTTTGCAGAAAACTCAAAGGTACTTTCAAGAAATATTTTGTGTTGTGTGTGTGTATATATATCCTTGTATTATCTAAATATTTGTTAAAAGAAACAATGGAAAAACATGTTTTTTTTCTTCATAGGCATTTCATGGGAGAAGAACTTGACTCCTTGAGTATGAAAGAGCTTCAGAATCTGGAGCAGCAACTTGATATGGCTCTTAAACACATTAGGTTGAGAAAGGTAATAACATTTTTCTACAAATCATCATTCTCTGTCTGTAACTAAGCTAAACGAGATCAATGAACTCATCTTTGTTTCGTCCAATACCCGTATGAACCGCGCCGACAAAATTAAGATATTAAATTGTGAAATCGAATGGAACTTGTTCTGTGCAAAGTGTTGAGCCAAACTTCTGTTATTCGCAGAATCAAGTGATGCTGGAATCAATTTCCCAGCTCCAAAAGAAGGTATGCTCATTTCCCATATTTAGTAACGGCCGATCTCTTTTGTTTCAAGATTTCGGTTTTGGCCAAGTAGAATTCAAAGACATCAGAGAAAGTCTAATCTTGAAACATAATCATATGTTGTAATGGGGTGAAAAACCAATGAACAGGACAAGGAATTGCTGGATCAAAACAACTTCCTGTCTAAACAGGTAATTAATATTAGTAATCGATTAATTCTGCTAATGATTATTAATTGGGCATAAAATGAATGGTTCATGATCAAAACAACTTCCTGTCTAAACCAAGATTTAAACCATATATATTATATGCTGCAGATCAAGGAAATGGAGAAAGAAGTAGGGCAGCATGATGTAGAGCATCAAAGCCATGAGATGATAGCCTCATTTCAGTTGGGCATCTGGTAAACAAAGTTTCAATCAAAATCGTAGCTTTATCTATTTTTCATTTTCACACACACTGACACACACACACACTTGTCACCAGCTGAGTTTCTTCTTACCCCAGACCCCACCTTCGGATAGTGTGATATACTAGGCTCGTTTGATTTTATGCATGCAGTGATACATATAATGGGGGCCAAGCAGGAGGAGCGGATGGGGAAGTAGAAGAAAACCCGAGGCAAGTTCAAGGTCAAGCGTCGACGTCAGGGATGCCCCCTTGGATGATTCAACACATGAACAAGTAAAAGTGGCATGCATATATATCTTGATTTTGTTGTTCAATTGTTTGGAATGTCGTTGTTTTATGTATAAACGAAAAACATCTATTGTTGATCGGGCAACCAACTATCGATAACTTATGATGGTTTGCGGGATCGGAAAATAGATGTTAGAGTAGAGATGTGTACCAAAGCTTGTGCTTTTTGTTGTGTTCGTGTATATAAGGTTTTTGAAAATGGATTTATAGAGATGATCAGTGTTGAATTGGTTGTTTTTCAGAAAATTCATTAAATTTACATGTCATGTGCTTCTTTTTATATGTTTTTTTTTATAAAATATGATTCAAAAAATACATTTTGTTTTTTGATATAATTTACCAATTTGTTGCTATGGAATTAAGTAGGAAAGTGAGTTATTTATATGGAGCATCCATGCAGGTGTATTATTTAATTTACCATTAATAGATTTATTATTTCTTTTTGTTATGATATTTATTTTGTATATTTTATAAAATCGGTAACCTTAAAAAATCTTTAGTCAAAAAAATTTAGCCAAAGGTTTATGAAATATATAAGAAAAAATAATCATGTGGTAAAAAGAGAAATCTTATGTTGTAAAATCATGAAACTGTTTATAAATTCATGATTCCAAACGTTCTTAAAATAAAACCGAACAATAAAATAACACTTAGAAAAATGAAAAATAATTAAAATCATTGCAATCCTTTTCTTTTTCTTTTTTGCTTTTGTGGTCGATTTGGGCAAATCGACGTTCGCATTACGGGTGCTCAAAAGACCAATCAACCCGCTCAATCAGGCAATCCAACCTGAAAAAATCCAAAAAAAATTCAATCTGATGTAAATCGATACATAGTTGATACAAAATTTATGGATTTAATAAGATTATATAGTCTTTGATTAACATATGTACATTAGACATTAGACTAATTTGTAATTCACTATATTCAAAATTTTATCACAATTTTAACTGTAATTTTACTTTTTTATTTGCATGAATCTTCAACATTCTTTTTTGAGTTTGTTTGTCTTTTTTTATATGTTACCATCTTGATTCTACTTCGTTTAAACATTAAACACCTAGTTAGATTGTAAAATGATGTATCAAAGTTACAACCCGATCAAATCAAGTACCCAATCCAACCCGCCCGGGTTGAATGAGGTTGAGATTTTTTAAACCGCAAACATTAGATTTACTACGACAATGTTTTTTCCTTTATATATCTATTATGACCGGTAACCAAGTTAAATGTTTTACGTAATGAAGATGGGGGACGATCAACCAGAAAGCTATTGAGTTGTTCATTGTTTTTCTACCATATAATAATTACGAGACCCATCGAATAAATATTTAAATAACTTTATTACAAATAATTATTAATATCAATCTCTTATATATATGGGAAACCCAAAAAGAAAATAAAAAACCGAAGAACAACCTAGTAACCATTCATCTTGATGGTATATATATGTGCATACAAGTAATTGAAGCTGTTTTTTGGTTTTATTGTATGCATGTATGTTATGCATATGTGAATACCAGACAAATTAGTTGCAAATTACTTTTATGTACATATACATACCGTCCAGATAAACAGTTACCAAGATGTTACTCAATTTTTCGTTTTTTTTTACAGTTTTCCTCTTAACTTGATCCTATATACAATGATTTAAAATAATAAGAAAAAATATTTTATTTTAGGACAGAATTAACCTCTTCGAGGATGGAATAAATTCTTTTAATTTAAAATCATGTCATTTATAATGTCACGTAGTAATCATTTTTAAAATGGGAAAAGTTAAAGAAAATCCAATAAAACTTTTTCATTTTAAATGGTTTAATCTGTCATGTTATAATAGGTGTTGACGGGGGCGGTTGCACCCTTACTTTGGGTTGGATCCGCCCCTCATCTTACCAATCCTTGTCAATCTTGTAGTACAGTTTGGGGACAAACTATACGGGGTGAACATTTTTTTCCAAAGTGCACTGTATATGTTGTTTGAATACGATTATAACATCGTATGATTTCCAACATATACAACGGAAATTCTTTCCTTGAAGTTACAATATTCGGCTCGTTTTCAAGTATCTCTCAAACGGGCTTCAAATACAAATCGAACAAACCATCTTTGAAGTTACAACTACTTTCTCCGACTTGCAACCCCAACAAACGTCACATTCTTTAAACAATAAATGCTAACGAGATACCAGATAACCACTCGATCCTGTATCTATATTCATCTCTGAAGCTACAAGCATCCGTGTTCTCAGCTTTGGTGACGACGTCAATTACTAGGAGTGCACCAAGACCCGGATACGCGATAAACAGAATGACAAATTTATGTGATTTCGCAATAAAATCGTCAAATCTAATTGATGGTGTTACACCCATTTCTATATCAAACTATACAGATCAACTTAAAAGACCTCTTTTTGCATTCAATGGCATTTCAACTTCAATATTATGGGGTATTTTTGGTTTTCAAAACAATTTTTCAGCAAAAGGGGTAAAAGTTAGGCCATTTACCTCAAGATATCTGTGGTACAATCTCCCTCCTTTCAACTTTTGAGTCGGTTTTTACTTCAAGATTTAGCGATGCTCCAGATTGTGGCTAGACTTGTATGAAATCCGATACAGTTTGTCATAACCTGCAAGAACTCCAGCCCCAGCTACTCCAACAAGCATGTTTGCAGTAACTCCTCTGTATAATGCCCGGAAACCTTCAAGGTGGATGATCTCACGCAGTGCGTGTATACTATTATGATACTTAGATGGTTGACCAGAAGTCAACATCATTCTTCGCCTCAATGTGTCAAAGGGGTAAGCACAAATGCCGGAAAATGTTGTCACGCTCCAACCCAAGAGAAAACTGGCGAGAAAATTGTCCTGCAGATTGTTTCCAGAGATCAGAGGCATAAAAATCAGACTTTTTGTAGGAAAAATGGTTACATGATTACCTGAAATGATCCAATTAAGACGATAGGTTTCATGCTGTCGTATAACCCAAAGTACATGCCTCTATACAGAGTAATTCCCACGATTGAAACCCCGAATCCACGATACAAGCCTCTAATGCCATCAGTTGCGAGGGTCTTGCGATACACGTCAAATAGTCCGTTGAATTGTTGTTTTTTATTGGTTGAATTACATGCTGAATCAGTTGCTAAACGGGTACGGGCATAATCCAAATGATATAGAAACAATGAAGTGGTGGCTCCAGCAGCACTTCCTGAAGCAACATTGCCAACAAACCACTTCACATACCCATCTCTCTCTTTTGACCGTCCAAATACACTTTTGAAGTAACCTTTGAATGCAAAATTGAAAGCCTACGGATATTTTTCAAAAATAGTTTCTTCAGGAACCTATTGGTGCTTACTTGCCTAACGTTTAACAATCAGATCTTCATTAACGAACAAATGGAAAATGCTTGGTGAATAGGGATATTATTTCTAAAGTTCTTGAAATAGACATCTATAACGTGAATTACCAAGGAGTTACCTGAGTTGGAAAATACCGAATGACATTGACTTGATTACCCCTCCAAAACGAAAAGAAACCTTCTTCTTTCAAGACCCTTGTGAAGCAATCACCAACTCCAATATATGGTCTCTTGAGTTGTTCCCTTTTTAACAACTCTCCTTGATTTTGCAGTAGAAGCTTCACTCTCTCAATTGGTGCTGCTGCACTCTTTGATACTATGGCTGCTGCACCTCCCATCATAAAATCTGAAGAGAACCTCTTTGATTTCGTTGTCATCCCAAATCCTTTCTTGCTTTTCCGGATCTGCAGAAATCAGCATAAACTCATTCAAGCAAGTTCCATATAAGGGTAGTTAGTAGTTCCTGTTATGCCTTTCACAAGCTTGGATAATGGCCGAAAAGAACATACGTGATAGGATAAAGTGCCCTAGTCAGGGGGCGGATTATTTAGGCTATTGACCTTAAATCAGAATTTGTTTCACAACACCACATAATCTTCTGACTATTTTAGTGGTATTATTGTATATGGAAGTGGCATTCTTCTTTTAAGAAGTGGCATTCTCAAACCTATCAGAAGATCATTGATTTAAAAGAAAATTGTCAGGACGTCATTTAACCAAAGGACTGGTCAAGGGACCAAATGGGCATCTGAAGACCTTCCTAACAAGGTAAGTCTTGAAGAAAGCATGGGATCCAAGTCACATACCACAAGATATAAATAGAGAGAAATGGAGAATAAGCTGAACCTTTTTCACTGATTATTAGCATATAATATTCCCAGTTGGTAGTTAAAAGTAGTTAGAACTGGTTAGTAGTCTTGTTAGTTTCCATCTTATGTAACTGTAAATAGAAGAGATGATGTCTGAAATTATTCAATAAAACAGAAGATTCATTTTGCCTCTTCTCTTTAATCTCTCTTCTTGCAGTTTCATAGTTTTGCTGCACTTTTCTTCTTCTATTGCAGCATAACACTGTTACGTATACGTGTATTTTCCAAGATTCTAAAATGGCATGAGGCGTAGTGTAATGGTGAGATCAAACCTCAAGCCTTGGGGAGCCATAGCGATTTTCAAGGCGTGGCTTTAGGTGGCAAGTGTGTGTGTGTGTGTGTGTGTATATATATATAATATACATATATGTTCATCCTATTGGTATTACTCAATGATATCTGATCAAAATTGTGATCAACCACAATCAACATCTTGCCTCATACATGTGGGTGGGTGTATGCCCTTTTAACTTTTGAGGTCAACCTACTACTTTTCAAGTTTAATGTTGATCATTATCACTATATGTATACTGTTATACCACCAACATATTTTGTAGCACTACTCAATGATTTACTCAAAGTGTTAACTAATTTGTATCAATTTTGAGTCGAAAATCGGGGGATATGACCTTAAAACTCAAAGTTTAGTACTAAACTTCAAAGAACAGAAGTATGAGAGAATCATCGCTAACTACAAATTGAGTATGTGTTCCCATGGATACTAATTGGTGAAGTACCAGGTGTCCCCAAACTTTTTGGGATGATATTCAAGAAACAAGCATCCTCAAAAGATGGACAATCCTAATTACCTACTGCTATGCTGTTTGCAAACAGTACCCAAAAAAAGCCGTATTGGCAGCCACAATGTTTTTCCAGAAGAACATGGATTTATGTTGTCCCAAACTCATACAACAGATATATACACACTGAACTAACCACACGTATCATCAAAATTACCATAAATTACTCAAAATCAACGACGAGAACAGCAAGTATGGCTAATAACAAAGCTAAAAGTGGCCAGCAAACATCATGAAATTGATCAACTTCCAACACGAACAAAAACCCGTCACTGACAAGCGATAAAGCAATAAAAAACATGCAAACCAGCAAAATCAAGCAGATAGAAGATTGAAGAGAAAAGATTACAAGAGTTGAAGCCAACCTGATGACGACGGACGAATGGCCAATGAAAATCGGGGGTTTAATCAAATGGGAGAAGTAGATCGAAGAGAAGAGTGAATACAGTAAAGATGAAGAAGACGACATAGGAATCCAGGTGAGGAGATCATGGGCTGATGCGAGAGGCGCCCAATTGATTCAGCTGGGTGACATACACAGGCCTCACACACAGCACGTGAGCTCCACGTGCACGAAATTTCTTTTTTTTTTTTTGTTAAAACCCTATGAATATCGTTTTTTGGTTTATATTTTACTGGAAAATATTTTAAATTGACTATAATTTGAATAAGATTTTGTATTTATCTGTAAATACTATTGTAGGGCTTTAAATAGAACTTGTAATTTTAAACGCAGCAAAAATAAAACCTTTGGTACAATAATCTAGAAAACGTCTCTAGATCTGAAATCCAAAGCCGGATCCAGTAAGATGTTTAATTAAATTATAACACAAGATAGGGTGTTTAGGAGTGTACCTTTTGGATCTAGTGAAAAATCTGAAGCAGCACTTAGAAACCGAGTGTGATTTCTTCTACAGTTGATCCACACACGAACATGTTTAGATCATTCACCAGGTGCTAGCCCAAAAGTACCCTAAGTCTAAATATGTGCATATAAAGTGAGAACCAAAATTCAGAGAGTTGAATTCACCAAATTGAATTGACCTAACACCCTACTTATAGGAGCTGGTATCATAGTCACCTTATAACTCTAAATAAAGTTTGATGTTTATCTGTAAATAATTATATAATTATCTAAAATGTTAAATAATTATTTTTATTTACAGATAATACCCTATAATTATTATAATTACGTTTCAACACATATTCTATAATTATTCTTCAAGAATAATTATTTAACTGTCAATCGTGACTTTGGGGTTACTTTCAAATGGAAGCAAACGTATTCTTTGTGTACGACCCTATATGTTTACATACTCCTTAGCAGTATCGTTGTGTGACACGTGTCGTGAGCATATAATAACTTACAGTTATAATTATCATAAACATAATATATATATATATATATACTAGAAGTGTACTCGCGCAATGCAGCGAGATACATCGTGTTTTTAATATTTCATTTTATTTTTTATCTCAGTCGATGTTATAATATGGCTTTATGTGATTTTGAGAAAACGAT